ACACCAAAGTACTTACATCGGTCATTCCGATCCTCTGGGCTAGATGAGGCTTCTCGATCTGAAATGAGGCCAGAGACAGCGAAAATCTTCTTCCCAGTGTCGTCAACCTTAAGTGAACCGGGGGAGCTAGATGGCAGCTGTGTCCCAAAGTCATATTCCTTGCCATCTGCATCTGAGAACCGTAAATGGGGAGATTCTGTGTCATGGCAGTTCTTCAGTCGCTTGGCTGGTGTAAAGGCTGACTGATAACTCTCCCGGTCCTCAGTGGAAGCAAAGGGACGGAAAGCCCCCACACCACTGTGGTTCAGCATACTGATTGGGGTACAATCTAGATTTGGGGGAGCAAACTGAGGGTGGAGGTGTAGTAAAGAAGGGGGAAAATCACGATTGGCAAAAGTGCCTGGCACCCCACCCTGCCGATGGTACATAGAGGCAAAGGTGTAGGAACCATTGGTGAATGGAATATGCACGTCCTTGTCTACTGAGACAGGTACACCAAAGGGTCGTGGCTGCTGACAAGGGATGGAAGCATCGCGGCTGGCCTCAGCCGTAGAGGCCAGGACCATTAGTGCTGGGGATGCCAGTGGGTTAGGGAGGTAGGACGAGTTCTCCATCTTGAAGGCTGCCCGATGTAAGTCCATTGGAGTTTCTTTCTATGGCCCACGTCACAAGAAGCAGTCTTTCCTGGGAGGGAGTCCCAGCAGCACCTTGGATCAGGGTAGAGAATGTTACTGGGGAATCATCCCCTTCTAAGACCTGTGGAAACAGCAAAGAGGAAAAAAGAGGGGGAGGAAGGTCAGGGGGAGGGAAAAAATCAGGAAACCCCAAGTGATCGAAACACCATCCTTCTGGCTTACAGATGTTCGGGCAAGAGACACCATAGGCTATGGGAGCCAGTGGGCAGCAGCATCAGACCATTTTCATTCAGGAAAATCAATAGACAACTTGCTGTGATGTACGCGTAGCTGACTTTGGTCCTTACACGTTCCGGGTGAAATGCGCCAGAGCCCAGTAAAGGAAAAAAAAATCATAAAACCTTCAAATACAATATTCCCTGAGCAAATGAGCTTTGGAAGGCCAAGTCACCCAGTAGAATATGTTTTAAAGGGCTTCTACCTGCACACACCTCTTACGCCAGGCCTAATGTCCAGAGACCAGGATCCACCTCTGTGACTACCCCCACACATAGACACGTCCTCTCTTTATTTCTCCTAACGCCCTGATACTGAAAAATCCCTAAATAAAGCACATCTAGGCCATGAACATCTGTACATGTGAGGTAGTACAAATTGTACGTGTGGATAAACCATACACATTGGCACTTACGTAAACATACATCTTTGTGTATCATCTAAGATTGTTTTCAGAAAGTACTGTGTGAACGAACAACAGCAACATTATTTTTGTTGCACATCCCTCTCTAATCACACAGGCTTTCTCTTTTCTGAGAAGGAACAAAACCTTCATCAATAAAATGCCTGTGGTCTCTGACAATATTTAAAAACATAATGGGTACCTTTGGCATATGTTCTCTAGAAGCGCCAGTCTTCCAGGGGCAGCAAAGAACGGATCGGTAATTTTAGTTACTAAAGCACTCACTCTTAAGTAGATTTGTAAACTGCCTTGAATTTGCCATTAACATTTAGAGCAAAATGTTAACAAAATTTCTGACTTATTTTGCTCTGCTTATTGGACCAGTCAGAGTTGATGTCCGATGAAGGCCCCTGGAACAAATGGGATTTCGGAGAGACTTCTTTCAATTTCCCTTTTAAATTTAGATTGTACATTTTCACAGCCACTGATACCGTTTCAAAATTTATTTTTAGTAGACAGTGGGAGAAGGGCTATATATCAAAAGTCCAGATACTATAAGATGAATAGTAGGACTTGTTAGTTTTAAAATATATATATATGTGTGTGTGTGTGTGTGTGTGTGTGCGTATATATATATATAATATATATACTATATATTATATATATATGTACTAATTAGAAACTTAAATGAAACTCAAAGTGTAACCAAAAATCACCATCTGCTACAAATATAACCTTTAAATTGAGAATAATGTCTCAAATAAAATTTACCCCCTCCCTTAATAAAACCCACCTAGATAATGGAGTATCTCTGGTATTCCCTCAAATAGAGAAAACTCAGTTAAAATGTAGATGAATCCTCCTGGCTTAATGCAGTGCAAAGAGAGTATTTCCTTCTCCCATCCTGTAGCAGACGTGTCAATGACTGTTATTAATTGGGAAGATGAGTGCACACCATCAGACTGCTTCCTCATTTGGCATCATTCCTTATAGACATCATTGCTAAATTACCAGATTATGTATCTCACATTAACGGATTTTTCTCTCTTCCAAATTTTAAATAACTTTCCTGTCAAGTTATAGCAGTGTAGAGAATGATCTGCCAAGGATAGCCAGTTAGCCTGACAAGTCTGAGAATCCTGTTCTTGGCTGTTTTCAAATCAGATTAATGGTCACACAACATGGATGCTCTGAAAGTGAGTATAAGGCTGTTCCAAGGGTTCTAAGCTGCTCTTCGCAACAGAAATGACTAACTACTTGTCCATCAACAAGCAATATTATATGAGGCAAGCTGGAGAAAAGGGCAAACATACACTGAGGGTGAGGGAAAGAATGTTTCTCACCCAAAATAACCAATCACCCAAAGACTTCTCGATTTTTACTTCCTGGATCACCTCATTATGGTAAATGAGTTTCATAAATTAGTAATCTGGCGACAGCACCGGACACTCCAACAGAACACGGTGAATCACTCAAACCTGGTTATTCATTTGAAACTTCATTATGCTGAAAATAAATCAACAATATTTTTTCCAGGCCACATCTCTTTTACTCCACTATGTGGGCGTTGGTCTCTGTGGGGGGAGGGGAAGTGCTTTATTTCTTCTTTTTCTTTCTTACCCCCTCCTCACATTAACAACTTGTATAGATGAGGCTTCAGCAGACCACAGTCATTATGAAAATCTATAGTTAATACACTCCCAATGTCAAAATGTCATGGTTTTAAACACAGAACCCAAAACAAGAAAACTAACTGACCCTCTTAATTAAAAAAATATGGATTGTGAGATAATCAGCTTGATGGAACATTTGGACGACCGTAAAGAATGGGGCAAAGGGAAAGTAAGTAACTGTTACTTTTCTGCCTCTATGCTGATTTTTTTTAATTTAGCACTTCGTGCAAATCCAGATTAAAATAACTCCAGCTATTGATCCGAGCAGTGGAATTGACATTAATTTTAGTTCACTTCTCACTTTGCAAAGGGATCAATAGGAAGTAATAACAGCTGACATCCCCGCTGAAAGGAGGAGAAAGAAGGGCTGAAGACAGAAATCGAAAAGCAACCAAATAAATCATCAGCTACTTTTCCACGGCATCAGACAAACTCCAAACAGATTGCAAAAAGTCTTTGTTGAATTAACTAAACAAGGAGGAGGGATCAATCCACGAAGCTAAATAAATTGTCTGGCAGGCAGTGAGGTTGGACGGAGGGACCAACAAATATTGAGTTTTAAAAATTTCAAATCCTTGACGTGATAGGTTTGGTTCGGGTCTGTATGTGTGTGGGAGTTTGTTAAATCACAGACTCGACCCTGGTTTAAAGTGATTACAAAACGCCAACTCACTGAATAATTAGTGAGATCGCTAATTGCGTGGTTAAACATGCCAAAACCAAGACAAATGAAACGAAGAAGCTGGCGTTCGGAACGTGAAAATGTCTGAGTCTGGGCTGATGCGCAGCGCTTTCCGCTCTCCGGCGCGAACTAGCCACTTTCGCATTGAAAAACCGAAAGCCAAAGAGAAAGTCTCAGAGAGTGGGCAATTTCCCACTCCAGCCTCTGACCATCCCAGTCCAGGGTCTAGGCTTCCTGACCCTCGCCGGGGATCAGTGTAGAAGGAAGCCGCGCTGCTGCTTCTGGGAGCCAAACCCACTTGCAAATGACTGCCACAAAGAAAGCTGCAAAGCCTCCTGCCCGGAGCCCGAGCTCAGAACGCCCACCAAACTACGATTCTGCTGGCAATTACAAAGCACACACAACACTCCTCTGCTTATTACAACAGGTGACATTTTTGTGGTCTCTGAACCGTTTCCAAAAGCCAGGAATGAAAATAATAGAACAAATTAAACGATATTTTTTCTTTGCATAAATAAACTTTTAAAAAATTAACAGGCAACTTAAAAAGCAAAGAACAATGGGAAATGGGGCCGGGGTAGTGGGGGGTTGTGAAGAACTCAGGAAAGAATTTCTTTTTTTCCTTTCTCTCTTTCTTTCTTACATTTTTTTTTTTTTTTAAGTTCACAGACTTCTTAGCTTGAAGAGAATTCCCGCACACCAAATGCCCACGGGGTATCTGGAAACACCGCTCTAACAGAAATTTTACCACCATATGCAAGAGCTCAGGAAGCTTAAGGCTAACACGGTTCCAGGGCTGGGGCCAACGCCTGTGAATCAGACGTGACCAGGTGTCGGTCCCAGGTTTGGATCTCGACCCAGGCCGGGCTTTGCTAACGGGTGCGAATGCGAGACAGCCCGGCCTGTCTGAGAGTGTGGGGTTGCGGAGCTGCCCGCTCAGTTAGCCGCTGCAGAATTCAGTCGGTAAGAGTCTTAACTGGAAAAAGCAACTCTTTTAGGAAAAACGGAGGAAGAAGAGGTGAAGGTGAAACAACATCAACTTAGGGCCAGCGCAGAGCCCAGGCCGCCACTCCTTGGCCTGACCTCTCCCTCCGGCTCTCGGTTGCCTTTACACAATGAATGCTTTGGGTCCCAACAACCTCCTCCTAAAACAATCTGTTTGTAACTTTGGGGAATGAGGGCGCTGGCCGGCGAAAAACCGACAAATGCGAGGGGCCCTGGTCCGCAGCCGGACAGGGCCCGCGGGACAGGAGCTCGGTAGAAACTGCCTTCGATCAAAGTCCAAGCACCTCATGGCCCTGAACAGCCCCGCCCCGAGGGTCACCCGGGTCCCGTCGCCGCGCGCCACCGCTTCGCCGGACAGCCACCGGGCTCCTGGATTCCCGCTCTCCTGCAAATGCGGGCCGGCGCAGGGTAGCCGGGCCCTCGCTGTTCCGGGACTGCGGGCCTGGGTTGCGGTGGGGAGGGCTCTGCCTCTCGCGCCTCGGCCTCGGGGCCGCGGCTCAGAACGCCACTCGCAAAACAGGTGTGTGTCCCCGCTCGCTCGGCGCCTGGCCCCGGCCCCGTCGGTCACCAGCGGCTCGGCGCCGCCTTGCCCTCGGTCTTACCCCACGACGTCCCGGAGCGCAGCGAACGAACTCACGCCACTTTTGTAGGGTTCGGGAGGGCCCGAAGGGATGGGAATGTAAGACGCCCACATCGCTTTTCCTCGACGCTCTGTCTTTCCCCACTCAGTTCATTTTCTATTCGCAGGAAGAACCCCCGAGACTGGCGGAGGAGGAGGCTGGGCACCCCTGGCCGCTCTGCTCCCTCCAGTCTGACCCGCCGCTTCATCACTGCCCGCCCTTTTTTCTCATTTTCCCTTTCCCCTTTACATCTTAAGCCGAGTCCGGAGCTGAGGAGAGAGGCGAGGCGTGGCTGGTGGGCACTGTGGGCAGGGAGCGCCCGAGTCTTCCCTCTCAGCGGCTCCGAG